ACAATACCTATTATTGAGTCACTTTTGCCAGGCTCTGAGATAAGGGCTTTCCCATGCTGTCTCATTTATTTTTCCCAATAAAACATTGATGAAGCAGGAGCAATTTTTAATAAATGTAGGAAACTAAGGTATAGAAGGTCAGTACCTTGCCTAAGGTCACAAAGCTAGTTATGAGACAGCTAGGATTCAAACCCAGGTGTCTGATTTTAGTCTGAGCTCTTTTTTTTTTCTTTTTCTTTTTTTTTAGTCTGAGCTCTTCATCACTGAATTGATCATTACTACTTTTAGTTTTTCTGAGCAATGTGTGACGTGTGTGTGTGTGTGTGTGTGCGTGTGTGTGTGTTTTCTCTCCACTTGGACCTCTTGGGATTTGCATGCATGTGGCTTATGAACTTCTTTTAGTCTTGGTTGGTACCTGTCTTTTGATGGAGATACAATGACACTGTCTGCCACAGTTCTTCCTAATCCTTTCACTCAGAGCAGACCCTTCAAATGAAAAGTGATATAGCTACCTTGCTTGCTTGCTTTTGAGACCATCCCCTCATTCCTTTACCATTCACATAAAACTAAGTAAATTTACTGTTCTTACCAGTTTTTTTTTTTTGATCCCTCAGAAGATCCTTCAGAAGAACAGATTGAGGGCAGCCCCGGTGGCCCAGCGGTTTAAGCGCCGCCTTCAGCCTGGGGTGTGATCCTGGAGACCTGGGATTGAGTCCCACATCAGGCTCCCTGCACGGAGCCTGCTTCTCCCTCTGCCTCTCTCTCTCTCCTCTCTCTCTCTCTCTCTCTCTCTCTGTCTCTGTCTCTCTGTCATGAATAAATAAATAAAATCTTTAAAAAAAAAAAAAGAACAGATTTATAAAGAAATTAAGGTCCAAGAAGGTGAAAGAACTTGTCCAGGGTCACACAGTGAATTAGAGGTAGAGCTGGAACTAGCTGTTAGGTTTTCTGACTCTGAGCCCAGTGCTTTCTCTACTAATTTAGTAAGCAGGAGAGGTATGTATGTATAATTTACAGATGAGACCTAAAGAAGGTTAAGCTATTTTAGGACCCAGGATCTAGAGAGTTCTGAGGGAGGGGCCTTGCCTCATCCATCCACATCTTCACACCAGTTCTTTCATACATATTTGAGGAACTCAGCAGAAAGGGAGTAATGCTTTCCCCTTAGGGTTCAACAAAGCTTTCATGACAAGGAGCTGTGGCAAAGCATCCAGAGGATGTTATTGTCTCCTCATCCATAAGGAAGGTTGGATTCCCAAGGCTTACTAGCCTGCAAGAACTCTTGTAGAAGGAGCAGAGGAGTTTCAGAAGAATCTATGTATCTTTGACTTCTGCAAACTTTAGCCTTAACCTAGGTGGGCTGGGACAGGGTAGTGGTAAGTATTGAGGTTGGGAGCCCTGAGGAATGAGTTTTATTTTTACCTGTTGCTGGTATATTTAGTTTGGGGTTGGGGACAAGCAAGTTCCCTTCATTTGAAATTTATAAAGAGGAATTCCTACTGTTGCTCTTTAAAAAAACCAAATAAATCCTTGGTTCTGGTACCAGAAAAGAAACCTTTCCCAAAGTCTGGGCCTCAGACAGTTCCTTCCTTTTTGCCTCCTTCCTAACCTTCTCTCCTTTTACCCTTTCCTCTCCCTCTATTTTCTCTTCCTGCCCAGCTTCCCTTCTTATTCTTTTCTCTCCTCACCTCTCCGTAACTCCGGAAAACAAGAACAAGAAAAGGGAATCTTCAGACAGCAGATTAGTAGATAGCTGGGATTAAAGATAATGGGGCCGAGAGTCATAACATGGGAGCTAGAGATTTTGGACCTTACTTCTAGACCTCAGAACAAAGGTTCTTGGAGAAGAGGCTTATTCATTCATTCATTTACTCATATATAGTGTCTCCTAAGTATAACCTGCCAGACTATGTGTCAGATACTTAGGTGATTCCAGTTAATAAGACCCTAAATCTGCCAATAAAATAGTCTTATGGGGAAGACATAGTAGAAGTATATCTTCTGGGCAGCCCCGGTGGCGCAGCGGTTTAGCGCTGCCTGCAGCCCGGGGCATGATCCTGGAGACCCTGGATCGAGTCCCACATCGGGCTCTCTGTATGATGCCTGCTTCTCCCTCTGCCTGTTTCTCTGCCCCTCTCTCTCTGTCTCTATGAATGAATAAATAAATAAAATCTTAAAAAAAGTATATCTTCTCCCATACTCCCCCATTCAAATCATTGGATTAAAAAAAAAAAGTTTTGTTTAAGTAATCTCTATACTCACCATGGGGCTCAAGTTCACAACTCTGAGATCAAGAGTCTCTCAGGTTCTTTCAGCCCCAAATCACTGGATTTTTCAGGTAGAAACAACTTTAGAGTTTATCTGGTTCTCTAAATCATGAAGTAAGCAAACATATATAGGCTTTGGAGTAAAGTAAAGCAGGCCTGGGTTCACATTCTAGTTCTGCTACCTACTAGCTGTTTGACCTTAAATGGTACTCTTAACCTTTCCAGTATTCAGTTCCCTTGGATATAAAATGGGCATGACATCATCTCTTCACAGGGTATTATGAGGGTCAGCTTCATAACACCTAGCCCAAAGCCTGATGCATATTAGCATGTATCTTTCTATCATTCTGCATCAAGGCTTGGTGAAAGTCCTTGCTCCTGTGAAACTGAGGCCATCTCCAGTCAGCCTGATTTCTTTCTCCGTTTTTTTTTTTTTTTTAAGATTTTATTTATTTATTCATAGAGACAGAGAGGCAGAGATCCAGGCAGAGGGAGAAGCAGGCATCATACAGAGAGCCTGACGTGGGACTCAATCCAGGGCCTCCAGGATCACGCCCTGGGCTGCAGGCAGTGCTAAACCGCTGCGCCACCAGGGCTGCCCTCTTTCTCCGTTTTTAGGATACATTGAGCACTCTTTGCACTGTTGGGTCCTGCCTGATATTATTAGTAATCCTTTGCAGGAATTTCACATAGTCCCACCCTGGAATGCAAGGATAAGAACTGTTCATTCATCCCTGTGTCATCTATAATCCCTAACTTAAAGCTGTGACCATGACCAACCAGGCCCAGAAAGTATTTTTTGATGGATTGGTTAGAAGGCTTCTATAAATATGCTCAGTGTTCTGTAGTGAAAGAAAGAGCTATTAGAGATCTGGCCTGGAATCTCCCATCCTAACTCTTCCCCTACCTCCTCTTCTGTTACTGCAATGATTCTCACAAAATCCCTGTCCTATAATCAGGATGGGGGTTGGATCTCCATTTTGTAGAAATCTGAGGCTCAAATTAGAACCCAAGTCCTTTGTTAGGTAATAGATCCTGAGTAAGGTAAGAATAGCAGAAATGAAAACAAATCTTTAACCAACTAGGTCTTCATTATCCGGCACCAGCAGGAATCTTTACAAGGAAGAGAGAACAGAGGAACTGGTTTTGAGGCTTTAGCTGATGATGAGGCCAGAGCCAGGTGTAGTCACAGAGATGATTCAAGAATATGATAGTGGTAAGAAGGGGTTCAGGATAACTTCATAGATTTACTAGGCCTTGAAGACTAAGACAGATTTGAATATGTACAAATGAAGATGGGCATGATGAACATTGAGAGTCTCAGTGCTTATAGAAGAACGATTATACCATTTGTTGAACTATGGAGGCTGAAAACTAGGAGATGAGTTCAGTTTGGTGACATTTTGATTTGGAGGTGCTAATAGTCCATTCCCCTTACTGTGCACCTCCTACTATCTGTCTTTGTCCTTGGACCCGGGCCTATAGAGATCCTTCAGTTCCATGTATTTGCTGCTTTGGTTCCAGGCCTGGAGCCCCCAGAGACCCCCTTACCCATGTCTTGAAACAACTGTCACTTTGTCTGAAGTAAGATAGTCATGTAAGATTCTTAGCCTGGTACCTAGTCTGTTTCAAAGTGTACATTCAGTGATAGTAGCTGTTAAATGGCTGTTGTTGTGGTTATCATTGCTTTCTGATCATAGTAGCTAGAAATTAGAGAAACATCTGGAACCAACTGAGTGAAGGACTCAAGAGTCATAGTAAGAAGCCTGAACTGCAAGTAAATGGAATAAATTTCAGGCTGGGTATAAATGAGGCTCTGAGCCATATTGGGTAGAACTAGAGAATGTTTACTGTCCATCACCCGCCCCTGCCCCGAAGTTGGTATTGTATGATATGGTTAAGAGGGCAGGGCAAGCCTTGGAGGTTGGACTCCCTGGTTCAAGTCTTAGCTCTACCTTCTGTTAGCTGTGTGACTTGGGCAAATTTACTTAACTGTGCCTCAATTTCCCTAATAGTAAAAATGGGGAAATAACACAGCAACCTTATAAGATTGTTGTACAGATTAAAGAGTTAATGCAGATAAAGGGTTTACAATGTTGCTTGGCATGAGCTACTGTTCTCCTTAATCCTGGAGTCCCCTCTATTCCACATTCCAGGTAAATACAGCTATTTCTCTGTTCTTCAACCATCCTCACCAGCAGTGGAGGGGAGAAGTAAAGAAACCTGAAACCAGTTTTAGAGTGCTTGAAAATTTGTCCCAGCTGGGGTCCAGGTTACCTAGGCCTGGAGGAACCTGGCCCAAGATTGATATAGAGAGTTGTCTAGATGACCTGAATTCCATTCCCAGGTTTTTTTTTTTTTTTTTTTCCTTTAAGGTTTCTACATCAATGTGGAGCTTGAACTCTTGACCCTTAAATCAAGAGTTGCAGGCTCTACTGACTGAGCCAGCCAGGTGCCCCTCCATTCCTAGTTCTGCCACTGATGTACTTTGACCTTGGGCAAGTCATCTAACTCTGAGCCTCTGTTTTCTCACATATAAAATAGGGAGCATAATTATTTTCTCCATATATATTTAGTATCTCATTCTTTCCATCACTACATTCTAGTTATATTGACTTTCTTGTTCCTTTAAGCATAACAAGCTTATTCTTGCCTATTATTGCTGCAGGGTCTTAGCACTTTATGTTTATGCCTGTTCTGAGCAGGACACTGACTGACTTCTCTCTGTTTTAGGTGAGCCCTGTTCGCAGAGGTGCTGACCCTGTAACCCAGAAGAGTTAATTGCAGGCTGAGCTCAGCCTTGGTATTGGTGAGTGAGGGTCTTGGGTAAACCCTGGGCAAGCTTGGGCCAAGATCAGGGTAATTAGTTTGGGGCTTATTTTTATCTTTAGTACAGGTAACTAACTTATGGACAGTTATTCTCCTACTCCATGTCTGAGAAATTGGCATAGGCAGCTTTCTGTACTGGGAGGAGAATTGAACCTGGTTTTCTTAGAACTGTTGTAAAATGGTTTGGGATCATTTGTGGTGAATAAGGCAAAAGCAAGCTTAGTTCCTTTTGGCTTCTGTTAGCTGCTTTGTCTTGGAGGTTATCTTGAACCTGGCAGCTAAACCCATTCTCCTCATAGCCCTTAGAAACTTTCCAGATTTCAGTCTTGACTGTGACCTACCAAGTCCATAGGTCAGCTTCAGAAGCTAGTTTTATCAGTCCTGGAAAATGTGATTATGAATGGTGGTGAGGATGAGTAAAAGAGTTGCGGCTGTGTGAAGAGAAAGTCAGGGGAAGCCTAGAGGGAAAACCACAGATGGTGAGACAAGAAGGGAAATCAACACATTAAGAACCAATTGTGTGGGGCGCCTGAGTGGCATAGTTGGTTAAGCATTTTGCCTTCAGCTCAGGTCATGATCTCAGGGTCCTGGGATTAAACCCTGCATCAGGCTCTCTGCTCAGCAGGGAGTTTGCTTCTCCTTCTCCCTCTACTCCTGCTTGCTCGCTTGCTCACTCTCTCATGTGTGCTCTCTAATCTTAAAATATATATATAAAAGAACTAGTGGTGTTATGTGTCTCATTTAATCCAGACAAAACTCCATTTTATGACTGAGGGAATTGAGGCTCTGGAATCTGAAATAATTTGCCTGGGGTTCACATCTGAGAATCTATAAAGCTGATATTAGAACCTCCTCAGTCTAATTGTAAATACCATTGTTCTCCCTGACTTGGCAGGCTTTCCTTGTTAATTTCTCTGGCATCCTGATTTTTTTTAAATGAAGTTCAGGAAGACAGACCTCCTTAGGGATTCAGGAAGGGAGATCTAGTTATTTGAGGGCCCAGCAGGTAGGAGTTGGGATTCCTTCTGAGGCAATGGCATTTCTAGTGAGGGAGCCAAGAGCCTAAAAGATAGGATCTTCTCTAGTAGTTAGAGGCCTAGGCTCAATATAACTAGAAGAAGAAAGCACCTGTAACACATGAGATACTGTATGAAGACTTGGCCAGTAGAGATAGGGACCTGGACAACTGGATTGGGGTTGGGAAACCTGGGTTATTATCTTCTCTCTCAGCATTTGTCCTTGGACAATCTCCCTTCCCCTACTTGTAAAATCGGAGTGCTTCCTTGCACCCCTACATATCTAATGTGTGTATGCCAGTCTGCAGGATGTTGTAGGGAGTCAAATGAGAAATGCAAGTTGGATATTTTTGAATTGTAAAGCAGCATGACTGAATGAGAGAAAGTGAGAAGAGAGCATAAGTACCCTGGCACCTCAGTCCCTGACCTATTTGGCATTCCACTCCCCAAAGGGAAAAGAGAAGGTTTTCCTTTGGATATTTGGGTTGTAAGTCTTTTCCCATGCTCTTCTCTTCCTCTTCTTGTGTAGATTCTACCTAAAGCTCAATCTTTCCACAAGGGAAGGGATTTTCCAAAGTACAGAGACCTAGCCAGGCAGCATCAGCAGCATGATTTGCAGCAGGTGGGCTGCAGAGTGCAGGTTTAAATGCACTCACACAGCCTGGCTTCAAGGCCACTGCTAGCACAGATATTAAAACACTTTTCAAGGACCCATCCCCAGCATGTGTTTTCACTCACTAATTCCACATAGATGTTGCCTTGTTTCCTACTATCTTGCTCAGAAAAAGAAGGCTGTTCCTATTCTGGCTTTAAGTACCCTGCCCATCCCCACGCCTTACCTCCAACTACTAGTGGAAAAGGCATTTATGCTATAGCCTCATAATCTTGTCAGAGGCCATGGTCATCCAGTTTACCCACCATATCTCTTTTGCCATTGGCCAGTGATATAGGCCACTTTCTTCACATTCTGTAACTGGACATTTTGTTCTTCTCTCCGCCTGATGTGTTCAGAGGGGTCTCTCCCCAACCTGGTGTTCTTGGAATCTGCATTAGCCAATCTTCCATCCTACTCTGAATCTCCAGGCTCTTTCTGTCATCTCTTTTTGTCTGGTTAACCTAAGTTCTGTAGTTGCTGGCTTTCCTGTGGCCTGGGTGCCAAGTTTGGACCTTACTCTTTTTGTACCAGCGCCTTGTGGAGAAGTTCCATTATTGATTGTTTCAAAATATGAATGATTCCATGTAGTGTCTATTTAACATATTGAAGTTTCTACTAAAAACAAATTTGAACTAAAAAGGAGGCAAAGCATTGTCATTCTTAAGCCTTTGCACAGCACTAATTTATCTCTATTTTTATATGTTGTAATAGGTTTAGCAATCTAGTTTCTAAACTTGTATAAGATTCAAAAAGCATATCAAAAAGGGAGGAGGAGCTGCTGTATTAGCAGCTAGAGGTGAGAGCTGAAAGCTAATAGTAAGGGAAGGATGAAAGAAGAATAGAAAGAGAAAACAAGTATGGAGGCCTTCAGTTTAGGGGCAGCAGTCCTACAGACCTCTGTGTGCTTCAGTGAAGCAGAGTTGGTAATTTTTAAGGTAGTTCTAAGTTCCTCTTGAGGCCAGAGGTATCAGAAAACACTAAATTATTTATCATGTCTACTATATTATCAGATGCTATACTGAATGCTCTGTATAAGTTGGTTTTATTTTCATAGCAGCTTGGGAGGTAGGTGGTGATATTCTCATTTTAGAAATTACTGAGGCTTCAAGAGAGACAAACAGTGAGGAAGAGCTAAGCTTAGAACCCAGAAGAATCCAGCTCTAGACAACTAAGTTTTTTCTATTATCCTATTTTGGCTCTTTTCCTGTGACCTAAACTCCTGGTCTTTCTCAGCCTCTTCAGCCAGTGGTTTCCTTATGCCTTCTTTTTATTCGTTCTCCTATATAAAACTTTTTTTAAGACATTGATACAGTGAGTTTTTATTGAGTGTCAGCCCTGTGCCAGATACAGCTTTGAAATATAGCAATGAAGAAAATACTTTGGGCAGCCTGGGTGGCTCAGTGGTTTAGCGCTGCCTTCAGCCTAGGGCGCGATCCTGGAGACCCGGGATTGAGTCCCGCGTCGGGCTCCCTGCACGGAGCCTGCTTCTCCCCCTGCCTGTGTCTCTGCCTCTCTTTCTCTCTTTCTGTCTCTCATGAATAAATAAAATCTTTTTTTTTTTAACTTTTATTTATTTTATGATAGTCACAGAGAGAGAGAGAAGCAGAGACACAGGCAGAAGGAGAAGCAGGCTCCGTGCAGGAGCCCGATGTGGGATTCGATCCGGGGTCTCCAGAATCGCGCCCTGGGCCAAAGGCAGGTGCCAAACTGCTGCGCCACCCAGGGATCCCTGAATAAATACAATCTTGAAAAAAAATTTTGCTCTTTTGTAGTTTACATTCTGGTGGAGGAAAACAGATAAACAAATGAATACGTATGAAGAAAAATAAAGCAGGGTAAGGGAACAGAGAGGTTCTTTGTGATGAAAAAAGGCCTCTGTGAGAAAGTAAATCTGTGCAAAAATACATAGGAACTAAAGTAGTGAGCTCTGTGTATATCTCTGGGGAATAACATTCCAGGCATAGAATTCAGCAAATTCAGAAAACCTGAAACTATAGCAAGCTTATTGTGTTTGAGGAGCAAAAGGAAGCCAAGTGGCTGCAAGTGGAGTAATCAAGAGGGAAAATGGAGTATGGAGAAGTCATAAGGATAGACAGGGACCCAGATCATGCAGGGCTTTATTCTGAGTGAAATAGGAAGCCATTGGATTGTGTGTAGAGGAATGATGTAATCTGACACCCAGTAAAAAAATAAAATGAAAATAAAAATCCCTCTGCCTAATTGTATCAGATAAAACCTCCTGCACAAGGTTGAATAGAATTGATGAGAGCAGACACTCTTACCTTGTTCCCAATTTTAGGAAGAAAGTGTTCTGTCTTTCACATTAAGTATGGTATTGGCTGTAGAGTTTTTTATAGATGATTTTTATAAGGCTAAGTTATAAGGTTTTACTATGGATAGGTGTTGGATTTTGTAGATTCCGTATTTTTTGTTCCTTGTTCATAACATGGCATTAGGTTAATTGATTTTTGGATATCAAACCAACCTTCTATTCCAGAGAAAATCCCACTTTGCCAGGGTATATGATCTTTTTGTTTTATTTTTTTTTCTTCTAAAAGTATTTTTTAGGGATCCCTGGGTGGCGCAGCGGTTTGGCGCCTGCCTTTGGCCCGGGGTGCGATCCTGGAGACCCGGGATCGAGTCCCATGTCGGGCTCCCGGTGCATGGAGCCTGCTTCTCCCTCTGCCTGTGTCTCTGCCTCTCTCTCTCTCCCTCTGTGACTATCATAAATAAATAAAAATTAAAAAAAAAAATAAAAGTATTTTTTATTTTTTTTTGCTCTTTTTTTATTTTTATTGGAGTTCAATTATCCTTTTTAAATGGTGTTGGATTTGTGTTGCTATTTCATTGAAGATTTTTGCATCTGTATTCATGAGGCATATTGATTGTGTTGTTTTTCCTGGAATGTGTTTGGTTTTGGTATCATAGTAATACTGGCATTATAGATTGAGTTGGAGAGTGTTTCCCCCTCCTTTGTTTTCTGGAAGAATTTGTGAAGGTTAGGTATTATTTTCTTTTTGATTGTGTGATAGAATTTACCAGGGAGGCCAGCCTTTACCAGAGGCTTTACTCTTTGGGAAGATTTTTCATTACTAATTTAATTTTTTTCTTTGTTTTTTGCTTCTTGTAGGTCCCCTCCCCTCCCCTCCCCTCCCCTCCCCTCCCCTCCCCTCCCCTCCCCTCCCCTCCCCTCCCCTCCCCTCCCCTCTCCCCTCCCCTCTCCTCTCCAGATAGAGGCAGAGGCACAGAGGGAGAAGCAGGCTCCCTGTGCAGAGCCTGATGCGGGACTCAGTCCCAGGACCTTGGGAT